AATGCAGACTTTAATGCACTAATGAGTGCAGGGAGAGGGGGTCTTGGTTCATAGCACTGTATTTCATGTGTGCATGGCATGTGCGTTGTTTTTATTTTCTATCAAGTAAAGTGCGCCCTCTTCTGGTCAGTTTCCTCCAGCCCCTATAAATATCATGCATTTATCTTGAGCCTATGAGGATGTTGTGAGGATTTTCACCACTCTTTGACATATATCCACGAAGTGAAGTATTTCTACCATTGTATTTTCGTTTCCTTTTGTTTTCCTGCTCCACATTAACTGACACCATAAGCTTATATATAAAGACCTGGAAATGTAATTTCTAACTGATTGTGTAACTTATAGTTATATCGAAGTACTAGTGAAAAGCATGTATGTCTTCAGGCTTCTAGTGGAGATCAGAGGTAAATTAAATAACTAACACATTGCTCTTGCTTTCACACTATCTGTAGTCATAAAGATGGATGTTGTAGTAGTTTTATTATGGGACACTTCAATCTTGTTGTAGTGCCTGGTTATTTTACTTTATTTATAGAAAATAATAACCTATCATCAAATTTGAAAATGCATTTGACAAATGCATTTTGGGTGTAAAGAAATGTTGGTACAATGAAATATTCAGAGATATTTAATTTCGTGATAAGGTTTTAATATTCTACAGCACCTTTTTGTTTTTTTATTAAAAGTTAACAAGCAAATATTTATGGCCTTGGTTTATTTTATTTTGCTTCTATTTCTTCTCTAGATTACAAATACCAAATGTTAGGTCCCAATTTTAGGAACCTGTTTACGCTAACAGTTTTCCCACAATCAAAAAACAATATCATGCCTATAGTGTTAATATACAGTTTATTGCAATATATTGCATTGTTGCCCCTGTATTGTGATACGTATATTATTGCCATATTCCTGCCTGTAAACACCCCTTCATGTTGCTCTTCATACAAAGAACTAAATTCACTGACAGAATCACCATGTTGCTGTCAGTGAGAGTAAAATGATTAGCAAAAAAAAAAAAAACCTGATCAAAGAGAGCCATGGACTGTCAGGAATAAATGTCTATTTGTCACAACATTGATGCTCGAAGATTAACAGACAAAGTCTTTATGAGTTTTACTAACTCAGAGTAATCATCATCTCTTCTGCCGTGTACAAAGAGACACATTTTTAACCATTTTCTCCTGCCCTGACAACCAGCAGTGCAAAGTGCTGCATTTTTCGTGCCTCAACATCAAGTATTAAACATCCCAGAGATGACTCACCCACTCATCTCTGTTAGAAATGTCTCAGGTTTAACTGTCAAGAAATGGTGCTCTAATTATCTAAATGTCTTTGAGGAGATGAAAATAACACAATATATAAGGGAATGACGATGACAAGACCAACTTCCACTTTGAAAAAAAAAAAAATGAAATCGGCTTAAGATTTGTCTTGTCATGTCCTCACGTAAAGTCACAGCCAAAGTCCTTGCACTTTATCAGTGTGACGCGTCCCTTGAAGTGAGTCTCTGCCTCAGCTCGTCCATTTTAATGCCCCACGTCCCGCCTGTGTCCACCTCTCACCCGGGGAGTACAGCAGCAGCTGCTCCATTAGCCTTTGTAATTAACGGGAGAGCTGTCACTTTTACCTCCGTGTGTGTGTGTGTGTGTCCGGTGAGAGTTTATCCACACACAGAGACACGTTTTGAAGCCAGGCAGTACAAAAAAAAAAAACGTGCCCTCCAGCGAACTTGTTCTAATATGGTGTGACGCAAAAACAACCCTGTTTCTCTCAAAAGGCCCTTGTTGCTAATTCTCTTTGCTGTTTACCTGAAAGAAACACCCAGTGAGAAGTAGAAGTGTTTGGGAAAAAAAGATGGAGCCATGAAAGACACATTTAGGCATTTAGCAGACACTTTTGTCCAAAGCGACTTACGGAGGAAAAATTAACATTATTAAGCTTGTGGTTCCTCTGGGAATTGAACCCAGGACTCTATGCTTTCTGCTTCCAAGGCCACCACACAGACACAGGGAGACCATCCTTGGACAGAAGGACTCGAACCAACACGACATATAACTCAAAACAACTGGTGATGATTCAAGATCCGTTCAAATGCAGCAGAAGAAAAATATTTTAGAATACTTATCCTTTAACTCTTTTATTTATTAGTTGATTACTGAGAATGAGACTTTTTTGTTTTAGTGACATTGGGCAGATGTGGGGAGGTCATTTTCGTGGTCATGTATTAAGTTGGCATCTGGTTTTGTACCATTACTACTTTTATTTTATT